CCCCCCCCAGCCCTGGTGGGGAGAAGTGGCAGGGCAGGGAAGCCACCTTGACGGTCTGGTCTCCATGCCACCCACTCTGAGTGAAGTCCTTGTTTGCATGTTGGGGAAAGCCAGACTTGCCACCACCCTGTGCCTCTGGGGAAGAGCCCGCACTTCCTGGCCCTGTCGCCAACTCTACGTGGGTTCCGCAGGTGGACCGCTCCGTAGGTGGCCTGGTGGCCCAGCAGCAGTGTGTTGGGCCCCTGCACACTCCTCTGGCAGATGTAGCAGTTGTGGCACTGAGTCACCAGGAGCTCGTAGGGGCTGCCACAGCCCTGGGAGAGCAGCCAGTCAAGAGCCTGCTGGACCCCAAGGTTGCCGCTCGACTGGCTGTGGCTGAAGCCCTCACCAACCTAGTGTTTGCTCTGGTCACTGACCTCCGGGTGAGTCCCCGCCGCTTCTGCCCGGGAGCTGCAGGCCTTGGAACACTTCCGCACCCACCACTCACTCACACCATCCTTTGCCTCCCTGTCCCTCTGCACCCTGGACTCTCCACATCCCTCTCCCCCTGTGATGTCATGTTCCCAGGACGTGAAGTGCAGTGGGAACTGGATGTGGGCTGCCAAGCTCCCAGGGGAGGGCGCGGCTCTGGCCGATGCCTGTGAGGCTATGGTGGCAGTGATGGCAGCCCTGGGTGTGGCGGTGGATGGAGGCAAGGACTCCCTCAGCATGGCTGCCCGGGTTGGCACGGAGACTGTGCGTGCTCCCGGTAAGGTCCAGGGGCCCCGGGGACAGGGAGGAGCAGCAGGGCAGAGCCGGCGGCCCACTGTCTCATACTCCTCCCTTGCTCTGCAGGGTCGCTGGTCATCTCCACCTATGCTGTCTGTCCAGACATCACGGCCACTGTGACTCCAGACCTCAAGTGTCCTGGAGGGAGAGGTACAGACTCGGCACCCCCTTCATTGCATGTGTGTCTGGGCATGGTCTTATTTTGGGGTCTACTTGTGAGTCCTTGGCCCCCTCATCTTGCAAGGATTCCACTGGGCTGTGACCACCAGCTCTGGGACTGGTGGTCTGGGGCATCTCACCAAATGCAGGCATAGCAATGCCGTGAGTGCTTCAGAGAGAGGTTCCCCTGGGCCATCCATCTCACTGCCCTCCTCCCTGTGTCTCCAGGCCATCTCCTCTATGTGCCTCTGAGCCCTGGGCAGCACCGGCTCGGGGGCACGGCTTTGGCCCAGTGCTTCTCCCAGCTCGGGGAGCTGCCTCCTGACCTAGACTTTCCCGACAACCTGGTGCGTGCCTTCAGCATCACCCAGGGGCTGCTGAAAGGTGAGTGAGGTCCTAGGGGAGGCACACGGGTGCCAGATGCCAGCAGCTAGGCACGTCAGCATGTGGCCTGGACCTCAGGCCATCTCTCCGGCTCCCTGAGTGTGCCCACATTCTCACATGCTCCAGAAGACGGGTGGAACTATCAGGTTTGGGCCCTGAGGTTGCTGAGCCTGCGTCTCCTTCTTCCAGACCACCTCCTCTGCTCAGGCCACGACGTCAGCGATGGAGGCCTTGTCACCTGCTTGCTGGAGATGGCCTTTGCTGGGAATTGTGGGATAGAGGTGGATGTGCCTGCCCCTGGGGTCGACGGTGAGGAACTCAAGGCCTAGACTTGGGCCTGGGCTGCCATCCCCACCCTGTAGACCCCGTTTCCTGTTACGGAGTGGAGTCTCCCCATCTCTCCTGTGCTATCTCTGACAGCGGACCCAGATGGGATTCTCCATGTTCCTGACTATATCCCCTGAGACCACCCCATGATCTCTGCTATATCACCCTTAATCCCACTCTCCTGGCCCTCACCCTACCCTGATCCCTGCCTGCACTCCCTCAGCCCTCTTCCCCTACTTCCCCTTACCTCCCTGGCAGCCCAGTAACTCTCCATTGCTCTCCTAGCACTGCCTGTGCTGTTTGCCGAGGAGCCAGGCCTGGTGCTAGAGGTACAGGAGGCAGACCTGGCCCAAGTGCTGACACGCTACCGGGGTGCCGGCCTCCAGTGCCTGGAGCTGGGTCACACAGGCGCCGCTGGGCCCCACGCCATGGTGAGGAAACCAGGACGAGCAGTGGGCAGTTGGAGAGGGGAGGCTGAGTCTGCCCCTGAAGGGCCGTCCTCTCTCCTCGCCCTTCATAGATCTGCCCCTCTGCCTAGGTCCAGCTCTCAGTGAATGGGGCTGTGGTTCTGGAAGAGCCTGTTGGGCAGCTGCGAGCCCTCTGGGAGGAGACGAGTTTCCAGCTGGACCGGCTGCAGGCAGAGCCGCGCTGTGTGGCAGAGGAGGAGCAAGGCCTACGGGAACGGATGGGGCCCAGCTACTGCCTGCCCCCCACCTTCCCTCAAGCCTCGGTGCCCCGTGAGCCTGGTAAGGGAGTGTGTGCTACACCTTGGCTTCCCGGGTACATTGGGCCTGGCTTGCGGAGCCCGAGGCCTGGATACCCAGTCCTGTCTTGGAAAAGGTATCTGGAAGTCGGCCTGGGGAAGTTACCCTCTGGCCCAGAGACATCCTTCTTCCCCTCCAAGGTGGTCCCATCCCCCGAGTCGCCATCTTGCGAGAAGAGGGCAGCAATGGAGACCGGGAGATGGCTGATGCCTTCCACTTGGCTGGGTTTGAGGTGAGCAGGGCAGCTGGCAGAGCTAGGGTGGTGATCCAGCCTCGGGCCGTGTGTCCTCTGACACTTCACTTCTCCTTGTCCTGCCAGGTGTGGGATGTGACCATGCAGGATCTCTGCTCTGGAGCAGTCAGGCTCGACACATTCCGTGGTGTGGCCTTTGTGGGCGGCTTTAGCTATGCGGACGTCCTGGGCTCTGCCAAAGGTCAGCATGCCGATTTCTGCTCGCTTTCTCCTACACATTCCTGAAAAGGTGCCAGTACCCCTTTTCTTACTCTGGGTATTGGCCTCTCACTTCCACAAACCCTGGGAGAAGGTACACTGGGCCATGTGCCAGCAGAAGGCCTACAGTAGGTGACTTAAATCAGGCAGGTGTGCTGGGTGGGCCAAACCGAGCAGGAGGGCACATGTCATACCTGAAACGGCAGCTGCCTCTCAGCTCCAGATCTTCCCATCTTCCAGGAAAGACCCCAAATCCAAATTTTTATGTAAAATCTTAGTTTTAAATGTTAGGCAACTAAAAGATTTTGGGAGGCTGGCAGGTTGTGTGGTGGCTAAGGGTGCTGGACTCCCACATGGCCAACCGAATGTCAAATCCCAGACCTGGTAGCTTGCTTTCTCACCTTTCCTCTCTCTTTCTCTTATTCTGTCCCTCTCTGGTCAAATTTTTAAAAATAAAGTTAAATTAAAAAAAAAATTTAAAAACATGTTCTGCTGTCTAAGCATGAAAAATATCAAGGCCATCTCTGGCCTAGGAGTCGGCAACATCTGATTTAAGCAGATGAACCCCTTTCTTCCCTTGCACTTGGCCCAAGCTCTGCAGAGGGGCTTCTTAGGGGAGAGTCAAAGTGCTTGCTGGGACAGAAGAGCAGCCAGCCCCTTTCAATCCTGCTTTCCCTTTTCTGAGCATTCCATATCTAACCCTGACTTCTCTGCCCTCCCTAGGGTGGGCAGCTGCTGTCACCTTTCATCCACAGGCAGGGGCTGAACTGAGGCGCTTCCGGAAACGACCAGACACCTTCAGCCTGGGCGTGTGTAATGGCTGTCAGCTGCTGGCTCTGCTGGGCTGGGTGGGAGGTGACCCCAGCGAGGAGGCAGCAGAGACAGTCCATGACTCTTGGCCAGCCCGGCCTGGCCTCCTGCTTCGCCACAACCTGTCTGGGCGTTATGAGTCTCGCTGGGCTAGCGTGCGTGTAGGGCCTGGGCCGGCCCTGATGCTGCGAGGGATGGAGGGTGCCGTGCTGCCCGTGTGGAGCGCCCATGGGGAAGGTCAGTCCTGGGCAAAGCGGGTGGGGTGGTGGGGGAGGTGTGC